AAATGTAGCCGATCCCCAAATATCTCCTAAATTTATCAACTCCCCGAATAAAAATATTTTTAATATGTAAAAAACCAAGCAACCGATCAAAAAAAAAAAAGGAACCGATCAAAAATTTCACGTAAGAAATAAATTATATTTTTCTATAATTTACTTTTTTTATTTTTAAAAACGCGTCCAATATTATATCATTTATAAAAAATAATAGTATTTCGTTTAATAATAAAACTTTATTTGCAGACAATTACCGGCATATCTATGTCTTTGTTGTCAAATAATACGTTTTGCAACAAGTTCGAATGTGAAATATGCGGGAAAATATATAAAAGGCATTCTGGTTTAGCTAATCATGTAATAACAATTAAGAAGCTAATACAATGAAGCCGACTGTATATGATTTGCCCGAAAGAGCAATTGAAGAGATGCGACAAATTTTAGTCTATCATATAAAGGAGAAATTAAAACAAAATTCAAAACATGTTGGGAGTGTATGGATTACAATTAGTTGTACAGAAAGTCAATTTTTTGGTATTTTTAAAGGGTATATACAGTACATGATTATTATCCAAAGACAGGAAATTATAAGTGTATTTTTAAAGATATTAATTCTTATTCTACACTATCAAAAGTATTGGGAAACGATAATTAGGGTGTTAAATATTTTTGCAACATCAAAAAACATTTGTTTTATCATATGGTGCACAAACATAAATTCAAATTGTATCTAGTCTTTCAATTTAAATAATATTAAAAAAACAAACCGATTTTCTTATAGTTTATGTTATAATCTTTCAAAAAATCGGCTTACATTTTGAATTAAATCATTATTCAAAAAGTTATCGGAGTTTAAAAGTTAGATATATTATTAATAATTTGTCAATTTCAGACTAACTTTACATGGGTATTTACAGGGGTATAATTGTAATCTGACCAATAAAAATGCATAGTTTTATCACGTGACTATATTGTTTTATCACATAATTTTATAAAATTGAAGTTCATATAATTTCTGGTGATCAAATTACTTTTTTATAATCAATCAATGTAATTTAATCACAGAAAAGTATAAACTATAATAAATATCTGCAGTTTAAATAAAGGGTATCATAATAAAGAAATTCATAAA